GCCCGGGCCGCCCCGCCCCCTTTTCTCGGGGACCCCCTAGATCGGGTGGGGGGACGGGGATTGGGGGGACTTTCTTGTCACCCCGTGTTTCCCCGGGGGATCTCCTCCCAGCGTGTCTGCTGGGGCGGGGGGCGCACCCCGTTTCTGCGTCTGCAGACCCCGGGGTCCCCGCGTCCCCGTGCCGGTGCTGGCCCCCCGCGGGGTCCCGTGCGCCCTGTCCGCGCTGGGTGGGGTGGCGCCGCGCGGGGACCCTGACCCCGTGCGGCGTCGTCCTGGGTGTTCGCCCCCGGGCGGCCCTTCGCGTCCCCGGGCTGGGCGTGACCCCACCGCCGGCCTGTTTACTCTCGGGGTCACCGCCCCCCCAACCCCGGGACACGCGGCTCCGTGTTGATCTCCGGGCGCGCACCCGGGTAAGGGGGTCCGCAGCCCCCGCGGGGCCCCTCTGACCCGAGGCCCCTGGAGCTACCCCATGTGGGTATGTACCCCGGGGGCCCCGATTTTTGAACCTGGGTGTTTACGCAGGACCCCCTGCGTCCACCCTGGGGTCATCTTTGCTGGCGGGCAAGGAGTCCTCTACTCCGTGTCTGCCTCCTCCCTGTGCGGCCTGGGCGGCTTATTCCGCCCTTCTGTGCCTCAGTTTCCCCATCTAGAAAATGAGATGACACCAGTGGCCTCTTCTCAGGGTGGCTGGGGGCCTCTGACCGTGCGCTCGGGGGCGTCCAGCAAAGGGGAGCGCCCGTTCCTCAGTTACGACTGAAACCTCTGCTAATTGTAGTTGTTTTATTATTACTGTAAAGGGTTTAGTGTCTCCTTGCTTTTGTTCTTATTTTATTCTTATTGTCTGTCTCACGACTCTGGTGTCTGTACTGACTGTGGCCCTGGTGTTGTCACCCCGCCCGGGTATCTACCCAGAGTCCACATGCGTCTCTGCAGGTGGGTACCTACCCCACGGAGAGACGATGCCTCTTCCAAGGGCACCCGCCGTCTGGGCCCCTCTGACGGGCCCCCTGCGCCCCCGCGCCTTGCTGTCCTGGGGGCGTGGCCCCTGCAGGGGGACCCCAGTCGCCCCACCCAGCCTGAGTCATCTCCGCTCTGAGCCCTGGGTGGTTTCCTGCCACGGGAAGGAGGTTCCTCTCCACTGGTTCCTGGGGGAGGGGCTGGTGCCCAGAAGGGGCATCTCTGCCCGGCCAGATGGTCCGAGTCCCCCATTTCAGGGGGCAGGACGGGGGGAGGCGAAGGGGCCTGTCTCCCCAAAGCCAGCCTGGCTTAGCAGCTGTTCGCCATGGGGCCCGTCCGCCCCCAATGGACGCTGGCTCCTTCCTCGGTGAAAACATTTCCCCAGGCCTGCTGGGTCCAGGAAGCCTCAGCTGCCCTGGCTGGGGCCTCAGTTTCCCCGTCTATGAAGTGGTCTCTCTGGGTGGCATGGGAAGCAGATGAACTGGCCCTTGGGAGAGTGTGTAAACAGAAGTTCAAGGATTCATTCAACAAAGAGCTGTTGAGAAACTGCGACCCCGTCCTGTCCCCTCCTCCCCCCAGCCCCTTAAGTCGAGATTAAGGAGTAAACAGGTACACGGGTCAGCTGGTTCCGGACACCAGCTGGTGAAGGAGGAAGACAGCTGATCAGGCGGCTAGTGGAGGGCGGGGTGGCTTCTGGGGAAGGTGACATTGAGCAGAGACGAGAATGACCTTCAGGCAGAGGGCTCAGCATGTGCAAAGGCCCTGAGGCAGGGAGTTGGAGGCACAGCGAAGGGCCCCCCATGGCTGGAGGGGCAGAGTGGCAGCAGGTGGGGGCGGGCGTCGATGTTTTGACGTGTAGACATTTTATGTCAAGTTTATGCTGGTGTCCAGCCCTCGCCCCCAGCCTGCCCACAAATCTGGCTGGGTGTTCGCGATGCTGCTTCTGCCCTGCCCCCTTCCGCACGGTACTTTCCGTCTCTCGAGCGGAGTCCAGGCCCTGCGGTCTGCCCCAGAGGCCACATGTTTCTGGTTGAAGCCAGCAAGCACGAACTGGCGGTGGGATTCATTTCCGGTGCTCAGCTCAGCGACTGAGGCCCATGAGAGAGGGTAGTGAGCCCCCCACTGCTTGTGGGACGACCCACGGGGCCCAGGGACGGGACAGCCAGGCCCAGGAGGAGCTGGGCCCTGCCCGAGGGTGCTGGGGAGCCACGCACGCTGGTGGGGCAGGGGAGGGGCCACCTGGGTCTCTGGGGGTCTGGGCGGAGAAGCCAGGTGGGCTGTGGTCTCTGTGGGCCCAGAGGGAAGCAAGAGGGCTGAGGGTTCCAGCCGTCTCCCGGGTCCCGCCCTGCTCTGGGCCATCCCGATGGCTCTCCCCGGATGTGGCCTCTGTTATCGGCCCCACCAGGCGGCCATCCTGGACTCCATCCAGCTGCCGGGGTGGAGACACCGGGTCCAGCCTCAGAGTCGTTGTCTCTGTGCCGACTTGAGTCACCGTGTCGCATCCCAGTGGCCCTTTTTGCAGCTGTGGGATCCTGGGACAGTGACCTTGCACCTCCATTTGCAAACCTGGATAATGGGCACCAAAATAATAGTCCCTGCCTCTCGGAGGCGATGGTGAGTGAAGGTGAAGGCTCAACCGGGGACGTTGCTGTGATCAGTGGTGTGGCTGAGGGAGTGAGCTCCCCGTCACAGGAGGAAACCAAGCAGGTCACAGCTGGGTCATGGAGGCGGGTGTCTGCCCCAGTCCCTCTTGGCTCTGAGTATCTCCTCCCAGACCCACGGGCACCTGCAGGGGCCATTCTGATCCCCACTTTGCAGAGAGAGAGAGAAAGCTGAGGCTACACAGGGAAGCATCATAGCTGGGATTCAAACTCGGGGCTGAGATCCCAGGGCCCGACCCAGGACTGACCAGTACCAGTGCACGCGTGGGTTTACCCATCAGACCCTGGTGTGTAGATGTGTACCTGCCCCATGCTGACCTCAGCCAGCCTGGTCTCGTCAGCCTGCTTGCTTTTCCGTTGAGATATAACGGCCTTCCTGTCAGGTGGAAAAACTTAATTCTGGGTGCTCTTTACATATGGATAGACCCCCTGAGCTGGGCTTCGCTGCTGACCCCTTTGAGGCCTCTTGTCTCCTCCGTCCTGGAGTTTCACAGCCTTTTCTAGAGCCTGTCGGTGCTTCGGGGGAGGGGTCAGGCTGCTGTTGCTGATTTGTGTTTTGGGAACTTTGAACACTGGGAAAGTCTGGGTGGCACTTTGGCCTCCGGGTTCTGCTCGTTCTTGGAATCGTGGGATTTTTGGAGAACCGATTCGATGGCTATTTTTAAAGTGACTACTAGGTGCCAGGCTTGGCCACGAGTGCCGGGGTACGGCAGGCACCACACCCTGCCCGCGTGGAGTCATGATGTAGTGGGAGGGGTGGGTGGAGTCGGTGGGGTGGGAGGTTCTGGCGAGCAGTGGGGTGTGAAGTGGAAGGGGCGGGAGTCTCACGGATGAGGTTTGACTGGAACCTGAAAGCTGATGGGCGAGGGGGCTGGTCCTAGTCCGGAGGGGCGGGCGCCCGGCAGGGGCACAGCCCGTGCAAAGGCCCGGAGGTGGGCCGGGGCCTGGTGCACTGGAGGAGCCTCGGGGAGGTGTGTGGCCGGAGCAGGGTGACCCAGGGCGAGGGGGTTAGCAGATGGGGCGGGGGGATCCTGACACCCCCACCCTCGAGGGCCAGAGTCCACCATCGCCCGCGGTGTGAGGGGTTCTGGGGTCTGGGGGTCGTCGGGGCCGGCCAGGAAAGCTTTGCAGCTTGTCTTTGCCGGAAGATTCCACCTGAGAGCCCCTCCCCTCCCGCTCCTGTGGCTGCTGGCGCCTGGCCTGCGGTCCCCAGCGGGAGGCCTGGCTCTGCGGCTAATCCGTCCCCACAATTAACGCCATTTGCTCCGAGGACGGAGATTAGCTGCGAGGGGGCCGCTCCAGCCGCCTCCCGGGGCCTGGCCCCCAGGCACATTCCGGGGGGGACTCGGGGGGCGGGGGGGCTCAGGGGCCGCGTCCTGGCTTCTCTCCTGCTGGGGTGGGGGACGCGCCGTGAAATCAGGGCTCCCGAGGACCTCCTGGAGGAGGGAGACTCAGGGCCTGGGGGCGGGGAGCAGCTTTTCTCAGCCGCCCACCCACTGTGTGACTCCGGGCAAGTGTCTTCCCCTCTCTGAGCCTCAGTTTACTCGTCTGTCCTCACCGTGGTAGCTGCCTCCCCCGTGACGTGATGATGAAACAAAATGAAACTTTGAGGGTCCGGGGCTCCACGCGTGGTAGAGGGTGAGCTCCCCGTCGCCGGGGGAAACCAAGCAGGGGGTGGCCACGGTACAGCGGCGATGGTAGGGTTCTGCCTGGGGGCCCTGGCCCATCTCCTCGGCCTGGAGGACTGACCCCCACCCCTCCCGGCCCACAGGCCCCTTCCCGGATGCCTGCCCGCTCTGACCGGCTCCCAGGTGAAGAGGTTCTCGGCCTCCAAGCGGAAGCAGCACTTCATCAACCAGGCTGTGCGGAACTCGGACCTCGTGCCCAAGGCGAAGGGGAGGAAGAGCCTCCAGCGCCTGGAGAACAGTGAGCGGGGGTCGGGGGGCACCTCCCGGGGTCCCCTAGGCTGCAGATGAGAATGGTGTGCATGTCGGCATTATCTGTGGTCCTTACCATGAGCCTGGCTCTGAGCTGGACAGTGCTGGGGCTGGGCCAGAGGGAGCTCTGGGCACTGGAGCTGGGGCTTTAAAGGATGTATAGGAGTTCAACAAGCCAGGGAGTGGTAGAAGGGGTTCTGGAGGCTGGACAGTTTCTGTGCCTTGGGGGAAGGACAGTTGGAGCATGGAGGTGGGGAGGCTGGTGTGAGCCAGGGAGTAAACACCCTAAATATAGAGGCTGGGGGAGGAAAGATGGTCCTCAGGTCCCTGTGGAGCCTGGCGGGCCCGGAATGCCACCCCCCAGCCCAGAGACCGTCTGTTTCCACTAGCCCAGTACCTGCTGACCCTGCTGGAGACAGATGGGGGCACACCTGGTCTGGAGGATGGGGACCTGGCACCCCCAGCGGCACCCGGCATCTTCGCAGAGGCCTGCAGCAATGAGACCTACGTCGAGGTGGGCCCCGCACCCTCCTCGCCGCTGCCTCTGCTCGGGCCGCACTGGCCTCTTCTTGCTTCTCGCTCCTGCCCCTGGGCATTGCCCATGCTGGTCCCTCCACCGGAGCACGCATCCCCCCTGGTCCCCTGATGAATGCCCCCTCCGTCTCCCTTGGGGTCCACATCCCACCCCAGAACCTTCCACTGCCCGTGATTCATCTGCTCATCACTTGGGATTACTTACTCGGTCAGGGGTGCATTTGGTCCATATGGATGCCCCGCCCCGGACAGGTGGGTCCACAGGTGCCCCATGAACTGGTGGGCCCAGTGGGCCAGCGTGTCCACAAGGAGTATTTCCATGCACGTGGGGGCCCTCCGTGTGCACTGGCCGAATGCAGAACCTGAGGCCAGAGCCGTGCAGTCGTTATCCCTGGACCAGCCCGCCTCTCTTGCAGGTCTGGAACGACTTCATGAACCGCTCTGGGGAGGAGCAGGAGCGGGTGCTCCGCTACCTGGAGGATGAGGGCAGGAGCAAGACGCGGAGGAGGGGGCCCGGCCGGGGGGAGGACCGGCGGAGAGGTGCGGGCCTGGAAGGGGCTGGGAGACCGGAGGGGCGGAGGGGGCCTGGCTGAGCATTGTGGGCGGGGCTGGGGGC